GCCGTCACTTGGTACACTTGGTACCGTCATTTGGTGTTGCCGTAGCTGAGACTGGGAAGTCAGGCTATAGCGACACTTGGGAGAACTGTTGTAGTAGCCGGAACTAGGAGGAAGCTCCTTGCCACAATGATACTTTGAGTTGGGGCTAGAAGCCCTTGGAAGTTTGGATACTTGTAAGGAAGTATTCGGTAGTAGTTGTGGATGCTCCAACTTGATGGGCTCCACTGGACCTGGACGTGTCACGGTCGATGATAGTTCGATGGTGATGTAGTCGGTCGATCCTTTGGTTGGTGATGTCACTGCTCTTACACTCCTGTGAGATGGCTGTGGCAGTAGTTGTTCGTAGTTGTATCTTCTGTAGGCTTGATTTGTTGTACTCATGTACTTCTGTTGGTGTGAGACTAAGGTTTGGTTGCAATCTCTGTACAGTAGTTGCAGTGGAGCTGAGGTGTGCACCCTCTTGTTGTTTCTGTTGATCAGGTTTCCTCTTGTAGGTCAAACTCTGTCTGCTCCTGCCATCCTGTGGCGTGGTTCCTTGTCTTGTGAACTCTTGAGTCGCTTGTAGCTAGCTAGCTACTCGGTTCAACGTTCACTGTTTGTTCTGTTGTTGTTGCAGTTGCCAGTATTGTAGATGCAATTCTCATTTGGTTTGGTCAATTTTGTTGTAATCGGATTGGTAGCGGTAGATACCGTTGTTGGCTGTTGTTGTAGCCATTGATGCCGTTGGTGGTTGCGGCATTGCCTATAAAGGCGGTTGTTTTGATGATTTTGTTGTAGGGTTGTAGGTTTTTTGGATTTTGGGTACCACCACACTCCTGTGCACTTGCTGTGATCAAATAGCAAGGGCATAGACTTGTAATGATATTGTTGTTACCTGCCTGGAGGCTGATGTTGCCTCAGGTTTGCCTGTAATCATTAAGGAAGTGCTGTGGATTAGTTGCACAATACACATTCCATAAAAGGTAGTAGGAGGTGCTGTGGCTGGAATGCCACAATACACACTCCATGAAAGGGGTAGGAGGTGCTGAGTAAAACTCAATACACACTCCAAAGAAAATATTCAATGCTGGTGGATGGCACTCCTGTGCTTCCTATAGCACCAGCTTGCACCGTTGCAGTAGCTCTTGTGCCGGTCGGTTGGCTAGCTAGCTAGCTAGCTAGCTATCCGGTGCATGAGATGCTCCAGTACTGTTGCGCATCCGTACTGGTACCGAGACTTGTCTTGGATTCTGCGTGGAATCCTCTTGTTGCCCACTGCCGATGTTCCGTACGGAGCGATCTCGAGATCTGCCTCTGTACACACCTGGAAAGATACCTGTTTGAGAAAAGATATCTTTTCCTGTTCAGTGGTTCTGGATTCTTGTGGTGGCTCGCTGAACTGCAGGCACGGATGGTTGCTGTCAGCGATTTCCATGTTTGCTGTCAGCGATTTCCTCACAAAAAGCAAGGAAGTCTTCTTCTGCTACCGACAGTAGTTGCCGACACTGTTGTCGATCGACAGACACAATGGCGCTGTCGATATTAACACAATGATGCTGTCAATCCTGCTGTTGTTGTTCGTCAATGGTAGTAGCGAACTCTTGTTGTTCTTGTTGACAGCAGTAGCCGTTGTCGTTCTTCTTGTTTTCGGTCGTTCCGTGGAAAGGCTCCACAAAAATCTTGTGTTGCCACTTGCCACTGCTGCCGACACTCTTCTGTTGCTTTTCGATCGACGCAATGGCGTTGTCGATCCTGTTGCTGTAGTGTTGGTTGGCAGTGGTAGTAGCGAACTCTTGTTGTTCTTGTTCTTCGCCGTAGCGGTAGCTTTGGGCATTCGATCTTTTGTTGATCGACTTGTTGTTCTTGTCTTGGTGGAATTCGAAAATTCCGTGTTGTTCAGCTTGCTGCCGATGGTTGCTGTTGACACTAGCGGTAGCGACTGACTAGGAGTAGTCGCCACCGTTCTTGTTGGCGGCCGGTAGCTGTAGCAGCTGCTGCAGGCGTCGTTCGATCGCGCGGTGGCTTGTTGCTTGCCGCCACTGTTGTCCGTCAATGGCAGTAGCAAACTTTGTTGTATTCTTGTTGACAGTAGTAGCGATCGTTCGATCGCTTCGGTCGTCCTGTTTTGGCTGGTCGTATTGCAAATTTGCTCTTATCCAGCCTGTTGCCGATGGATGCAGCTGGCTCTGAGGTCGATTCGAGTGCTTGCACTCTTGAGGGCCTGTCAGTGACTGTATGGTAGCCCACTTCTGTGTATGACAGTCCTCCTGTAGGACCTGTGGTTGCCGAGTGATCGGACTGGTAATTCATCTTTTTGTGCGTTGGAATTTTCCTTCCCACCTCTCTTCGAGTAGCCTATTTCGATGGCTCTCTTGTTGAGGATAGGAACTCTCCCACGGAAGTACCTCTGTGGTATTCCTGTTGGAATTTGTTATCTCGTTCGTCTGCCGTGGTAACACCTCTGGTGTTGCACTCATCGGCCGACACTCCTGGTGTCGCTCTTGTAGCTGGCTTGTACAGTATAAACCGTAGTAGCCTTGCTGCGCTCTGTGCAGCAGGACTCGTTGTGGTAGCTAGCTTGATAGCTTGGCGCCACTCTTGCATACACTTCGTCGTGCTTACAGATGTTTCGAGTCTTCGTCTTTTTGTAGTTGGTTTTCGTAGTCACACTGCACCTAGCAGTGATTGTACGATGGCTGTTTCCGCAGCTCAAAGTCTTCAGTTTGCTCTCACTCCTGTGAGCTTGGTGTTCGTGGTGACTCTTGTTGTCACTTTTGCTTGCTGGTTCGTACAACTGCAGGATCCTTGATCTTTGCTCGTAGCCTTGCTCTTGCGTGCTCATTCCTGAGAACTTGGTGTTCGTGGCAACTCTTGTCGCCACTCTTGCGTTCGTACGGTACGACTGCAGGATCCTTGATCTCTGCTCGTTCCATAGGTCACTTCTGTGAGCTCGCTTCTGGTAGCTGTTCAGGTAGCCGTTCTTGCTCCGTTTGAGTCACGTCCGTCGTGAGCTTGGTTCCTTAATCCGGAGCTCACTCCTGTGAGCTCACTTACGGCTCGCTCCTTTGAGCTTGCCACTGGCTCACTCCTGTGAGCTGGATGTTCATGCTCCGGTAGTTGGTACCGGCACAGATCTTCGTCTTGGCTTGTACTGTACAGTAGCCTCTGCTCCGTACAGTAGCCTCTTTGTTGACTCAATCAGCTGTATGTTTACCTTAGCATAGACTCAATGGATGATATTGATATCGATGTCGCCATTGGCGAGGAGATCTCGAATTCGAGATGAAGAAAGATCACTTCTTGGAAATAGTGTTGGTTGCTAGTAACACTCTAGCTTAGTAAATGTAAAATACTGTTTTACTGTTAAGCTATTTCCAAGAAGTGATCTTTCTCCATGTATTTCTGGGATTGATTCAACTTCAAAGGATATAGTGAAGGGGGTGACCATATAGATCAGTTAAACTCCCCATGTATGTAACTAGAGAATAGATATAGATATCCCCTATAACTAGATTGGGATAAACGAATAATTTGTATTGAGGTGTCTGTAATACAACCTCCCCTGCTCTGAGCCCGGTGCTCATCGCTCAGGGTGGAAACAAATCGGTTGCCAAACAGCCACACACCATTACCAGGTATGCTGCTGCAAATCGTTTTACTAGTCACAGAAGATGATTCATTCCATTCTTCTACAATACAGCTTGGCAAGGCACGGTGCCGCAGAATTTTGCGAGCTCAAGAGCTACCGTACCTCTACTACAGTGTACCGCTACTAGCTAGCTAGAGGTACGGTGCTGCACGTCGCGGCAAAGGAGCTTTACAAGTGAAAAGTTAAGATTTTCCAGAAAGCTAAGCAATTTTGTATTTATATCTTTATTAGGATCAAGAAGCCAGTGTTCCAAAGAACACAGACTTTAAGCCTGGATTCCGGGCTTTGAAGCCAGTGTTCCAAGGAACACAGGCTGCTCTTTAATTGGGAACAAGCCAGTAATCTACTTTGATTTTACTGGAACATTGATTGTACTTATAAATATATAATAAAGTCATCATGGAATAGAAATGAAAGCTGGCTTTAACCCCTTGGATCACTGGCTTCTGTTCCTAGGAATTCTGACTTCCAATTGTGTAGAAGCCAGTGATCCTAGGAGTTAAAGCCAGTGTTCCAAAGCCAGAGATCCTTTCTGTTCCAAGTCATAATCATTCTGGCAAAATTATTTATTTTGAAATTTTACCAACCCATTTTAAGCTTCCAAGCCAATTTACCTGGAGGTGCTGGTACGGATACTATGCTCCTTGGAAGACAACTTTGGAAGCTAGGTAGTTGCGGTAAATCAAATTTTCTATACAAAAATGAGGAGTAAACGTTAACTTTAACCCTAACCTTACCTCAACTACCCATCTCAAATTATCTTCGAACCTTGCCGTGACTGCTGCTTCCTCGCTTCCTCATATGTGTTCCACAATGCTGGTCCGTCTGACGGTTTTCACTCAGGATTTAAAAAAATCTTGAAATTGCCACAACTGACAACAACCCCTTAAACATCCCCTAAACATCCCCTTAACAATCCATCGTATCTTCAACATCTCCTGAAATATCCCCTTAACTAAACATCCCCTTAACATCATCCCCTTATTTCCTCGAATCATCCCTTTAAGCCTTCATTGAAACGCCATACAACATCCCCTTACCACACACAAACATCCCTTTTGTTAAATATACACCCCCTATTAAGAACATCCCCTTAACATCCCCTAAACACCCCCTTAACGCTTCACATCCCCTTAACATACCCTCATCGAGAACCAGCATTATGAGTCAGTCGTGGCATTTTTAAAGCCTGAACGAAAACCGTCGAACGGTTCCTCGTTTGCTTTCCACAATGACCACAGAACGACGTTCAGTCATAAAGGGTCAAAGATCCACACATTTTAGACTTGTTGCTTTTGTCGTCTTCATTTTATTTCCTATCATCTCTCCTTCTCTCCAGTACAGTCAGTATAGAGTCATTGTTGCCATGAAGATGATCCAACCTGTAGTTCCTTTCCTCCTCTTTCTCTTTCTCTCCATCAGCACTCTGGTTCAATCGCAGGAGGCGGATGACGAGGAGGAGATTTTGCAGCCGCTACTCCTTCATACTGTCTACTACGAAAAGGACGACTGTTCCAGCCCCGTGGGCCTCTCCACCTTTGTGCACGACGAAACCCTCTGGATCATTGGTGGCCATGACAATGTCACGCAACAGTGTAGTTTGGAGCTGACCTGCATTATCGATGGCGACGGTCCCTTTTGCCAAAATGAACTCACTGGAAATGTGGAACAGTACGAAATTCGAAACCAAGTGGCCAAGGATGGCAGAGTCTTTCAGTGTGACCAATCCAACGAAAATGTAGGACAAGATGACTGCCGTTTCCTCACGGACTGCTACAGTTCTTCTGTCTTTCCCAATTGTCATTTCCGAATGAGATCCAGTGGTGCTATTGCCCAGGACCGTAAGTAGTGGAATGGAATGAACATGAAGTAATTGCCAGATAGACGATTGATTGATTGATTCACTCACCTCACTTGATTGCTGCCGTTTGGGAATGAATTTGCGTCAATATCTATATTCAGCCAGCTTGGTGCGCAATGACAACGCGGAGGGCATTGCTGGTTTGCAGCACACTGCCTACTTGAACCTGTACGAAGATGCCGAATGCAAGGAAATGCTTGGAATCGATGGATTGGTAGCGGGAGGTGCCAGGGTTCTGGCCCATACGTCAGAATCCATGACTTGTCGGGAGGCATCGAGTTGTCTGGCAGACTCCAATGGAGCTACTTGTGAATCGTTTGGTGGCGTCACGGACGAAACCACCACCTACAATTTGAAACCTTCCATGGGAAAGGCTATGCTGTGCGATGATCTAGAGGACGAATCCACTTGTGCACCTGTGGAGCCAACTTGCGTGCAATCCACAATCTTTCCATCGTGCTACCAAAGATTGGTGGCATCCTCGGAACTCTTGAGCAATCCAGAAGTATACTTTACTACCACAAAGGAACCAATGAAGTCCACTACAGAAACTGACACTCCCGAGAATGAAGTGGAACCAGACGAAGAAGACGAAGAAGAAGAGCCACTCGCCAATGGTGCCAGTGCTGCTTGGCTCAAAATGGGAGGAGATTTTGCTGGTTCCGTGCTTTTTGTCCTATTCAGTGGATATTATTTTGGATGGTAAAAACACCATCTGCGTCATTTCTGTACATGGCGGCGAATTGATGTGAACGATATTGAGGTTCCCTGCGATCGCGTGAAGCAGTCTCACTTGACCACTTGATGCAAACTTTGGATGGCTGGCATATTGTCTGGGTTGGATGGCACAGGGAGTGGTTCCCGTCAAACTGGTTACGGTAGTAGCGTTTTTGTAGGCCAAGATCTCTTTGTGAGACCACAACTTGCGTTCTATTTATACATGTACCTAATGTCTACCGTCCGGACGGTAGCTTGCTAGTGTGATCTGTGATCTACCGGTATGAGGGCAACTCAAAACGGCATGAACAAACCTTTTCCGAAGATGGGCTGGCATACTAGCCGGAAAAACCCTGAGGGTGGCGAGTCGGTCTGCCAAGTAGCTGGCACTCTGAAGAATCTATTGCGGGGCTCAAAAAGGGCTGTGCACGCCAATTCTGAAGTCTCTGCCTGTCTGCAGCAGGTGCTGTGGCAGTTGTGCTTGCTGTGCTGCATTTTTGTTTTGCGCAATGAACTCTTCCTCATTACAATCGAAAGAGCTCGTCATTTCGGCACCTCAAGGTCAACAAGCTATTTGCTCTCGTTAGCATCCGAAGGCATGCCTGGTTAAGGTCTGGTTGCAGATATCTTTCACTCAGACTCTTTGGGGCCTCCTCATAAGATTCCGAGGGTATCTGGCAACCCAATTGTAGCACATTCATCAAAGAACTTGGATACACATTCTTGACAAGGGACCAAACAATATTGGCAGCCTGATTGGTATTGTAGCAACACATTTTGGTGAACTTTATTGGATAGTGGGCAAACATTTCCCCTGAGGTTCGTTGGAAATAAAAAGAGGAGCAGAATGAGAGAGGGCTGGTCTGTCAAGCATGACAAGAACAATGGTATTGCAAGACTTACCGGAGAACCGATACTGAATCTCCATATTCATGTGATGCCAACCCCACCCCACAAAGTCAGCCATGGTGTGATTCCCTGCTCTGACGGTCCCAAGACATGGCTGACAGGCCAGGTTGTAATAGTAGAAGCCGCAGACCATGATGCGCCAATTGTAGTCAACCCCGCTGATAAAGCAGGGCGCTAACGCTGCCTGTGGGTTAAGGGCCCCAATATCCATGACATGCAATCCTTCCAAAGTGGCACTGTCAACATCCAAACACAGTAAGAGACCTTCTTGTTGCTTCATTAGCTCTCCGAGCATGTACACACCCTGTTCTATAGAATTGTCAACTTGATACTCCTCTCGAAACATCTGAATGGCTCCCATTCTTGTCAAAGCATCAGCCTGATTACCCTGAGAGATGATGGCATACACCGCATATTCCATATCACTAAGGTTGTGTAGTTCAGCATGGTCTTGTTCCACCGTCCTCTTCAAATCCAGTGCCCATTGCCGTTCTTCGGAAGTTAGCTGCATGGTTCTATGGTCCTTGTGGGGTTCCGGAGATTCCAACAGCTTCGCAAAGATGTCCTCTTCTTCCTCATCATCCTTCTTCCTCCTCCTCGTCGCGTTCATCGGTGTCGTGGAGATCCTCCTCGGTTGTAACTGCGGCAGATCGGTGCATCATCATTCATGGAAAGAGCTCATTGAGCAACGAGCAAATCCCTTTTCACAGGCTGCTGGTTCCGGCGTTGTTTCTCGCAAATACTGAACTTTGAAAGGGTTGTGCTGCATTCAGCCGGCATTATTTATTTACTACTAGCTAGCTAGTACCAAAGTCTCTGTTCGATACGTCATACAGTCCTCAAGCAATCCAACAAGTTTACAGTTTGAAATGCATGCACATCAAAACTGCCACGGGTTTGTCTAAGTGTACAGTGTACTGGTGCCGCGTCACATTTAGAGTTGAATCGAAGCTCATAGGGATTACTAGTAAAAGATTTAAATGTTATTTTCCTCAACCCTGTATGCCGTCTTTTTATTGAAGTCTAGGCTTCTTTGTATAAACAGAGACTTAACGTAAAGGCGAGTGTCTACTTTAGTATACAAAGCACAAAGCACGTCTTCCCTATTCCCTAGAATGTTTAAAAAGCAGTTTCCCTTGCAAGGTTTAAAAGGTGAGATCGTGAGATCAGAAACATTTTGGATTTTGGTTGTGACTGGCTGCGGTACCACGTACGTGGCTAGAACTGGTAGCCTCTAGCTAGCTAGCTAGTAGAGGGATTGTCTGTCCGGACGGCAACACATGCGGTCCTTCTGCGAGTCGAGTCAGAGTGACAGTCCTTTGGCAGAAGAAAACATTTATTTTGTCAAAGTTGAGGTACAAGTTTTTGTCACCTTCAAGAATCCAAGACACGCAGCTGCAAGCATGGAGGCTTGGATTGAAACAGCTGTGGACGAATAATCATGCCCCAGCCAGAGACTTGACCCACAGAGATGGAAGGGTGGCAAGCCGAGTTATCCAATGGAAACTAGCTGTCAACGAAGGCGGTGGTGACAAAAACTTCGGGCTGG